GAAAAGAGATTCCAGCTCAACATTAGGAGGAACTTCCTGACAATAAGAACTGTTCAACAGTGGCACACACTCCCTCAATGGAGATTTTGGTGGAGCTTCCTTCTTTGGAAGTCTTGAAACAGAGGCTAGACGACCATCTCTTGGGTATGCTTTGATTGAGAGTTCCTGCATGGCAGAAGGGGGGGTTGGACTGGATGACCCTTGAGGTCTTCTCCAACTCTCATTCTATGATTCTATAGTATTGCCATGAGCCTGTGGTGTCTCTTGGTATGGCTTTCTATTCTTACCATATAAGAGATGTCAATGATGCAAATTGGATACCCTCCAGATGCTGTTGGACTACACCTCCCAGCAGCCCTGGCCCAGCATAGCCAAGGGTGAGGGATTATGGGAGTTAGCAGTTCAGTAACATCTGCAGATCCATATGATTCCCACCACTGGCTGGGTAGTGTACCCCTTTTTGGAATGGGAAGGTATAGAGGAGTAGGGTCAGGAGAATAATTTGTTTAAGGCAAACTTGTTGAAGTTCTGGGCACAGGACAGATTTTGGCCCCATCTAAATGGAATTTGGCTGGAAAAGTGCTGAATTTTCTACTCTATAAATACATTTTGGGTGGTCTGTAACTCACGCAGGCTTTAGAGAGCCCACAGGCGAGTTGGTGGCTCAGTGTCTCCAGTTGCCTGTAACTGGAGAGAGGTCCCTGTATTGTACACATGATGAACCCAAAGTCCAAAATAATCATTTTTGGAACCTCTGGTTTAATTCTTATTCAATTATTCTGAGTTTTGGGTGGCTTTGCTCCCAGCACCCTCCATCATTCTCACAGGCAGATTTAACTCACAGAGTGGTAGATAAAATGCAAATGAGGATTAAATGAGGACACACATCATAATGGGAGGCCTTTGAAGAAGGCAGGAAAGGAAATTCTCCCCATTGCCCCCCTCCCAATGCTTGTGTATATGCACAGAACAGAAAAGGGCTTGATATCAGAGCAGACGTCCCCCTCCTCACCTTTTAAAAGTGCTTGGAAGGTGCCCCTTGTTCCTTCTGCTTCCACAGCAACAGCTTGCTTTGCGGAGGCCATTAAGTAGCTGTCTGATCATCAGGCCGATAATCTCCTGGTAAAGCACTCAGGCAATGGGGGACCGGGACCGGTGGACAGAGCAGCTTGCTGCTTTCTAGGCAGATAAGTGAGATGCATGTGTTGCTCATGCTACGTAATTTTAACAAGAGAATTTCCCATGTTTGAGGGCTATGGATAATAATAATAGTAATAATTTGAAAACACTGAAATTCTGGGCCATGCCAACAACTATCAGGTCAG